GGGGGGCACCATATATATATATATATTTATGTTTGTATGTTTGTCTGTCTGTCTGTCTGTCTGTCTGTCTGTCTGTCTGTCTTCTGTTTGTATTCTGTATACATATGGGAGCTTCTGAAAATTAGGGTGTCTTATTTTGGGGTCCTTATAATGAGGATCCCACTATTTAGGGCTACTATCTTAGGCCCCCTTTTTTCGGAACCCCCCCCCCATACATGGTCATATATAAACACTGTCACTTAAACCCTAAACTCCTAAACCCTAAACCCTAAGCACTGTCACTCTATGGTCAGGGCCAGCGCCCCGGCCTCCCGGGATAAGGCCGGGATCTCCCGAGTGTGCCCGGGCACCCTGCACCCCAAGCCTCGAAGATCCCAAGCCCCAAACTCCAAAGCCTAAATCCGAACGTCTAAACCCTAAAACCCCCAAAGTCCCAAAGCCTTAACCCCAAACTCCAAACCCTAAACCCGTTTAGATTCGGTGAGTGTAGCCCAGAGCTCGGAGACAGCAAAGACCGGGACAGGACTTCTGAAAAGCATTGCCAGTTGGTTCCTTCAGTGAATAAGTAGAAGTCGAAATATTTATGGTAATAGTACTAGTAATAATGGCCAAGCGGGGCTTTATAAGAACAAGCCTCTTTGAAGCACTGTACCCTTATCGTTTCCTTTTGTCATTCTTTGTTACAATACACCACCCAAGCCTCATATTCATGATTATGAAGACTATGAAGGGAGTGTTGAGCGGCGATCCGGTTCAAGCTGTGCAGAAGCGAAGCGGTAGAATGTGTTGGACATCCACAGCCTGCATGCAGCATCATACAGTCATACAGTTTGTCAGGTCATGGCAGGTGCAGACATGGATAATGGATCTGAAGTTGACAAATTGAATAGGGTCTGAGTTCCGCCCATGGATCCTTGATACGTGATGATCCATTTCTTCTGCAGGTGGAAAGTGATTGTTTGCTCCTTAGCAGTCTTACTGCTGCTGCTCCATTGTCTTACGCTGTATCTTCTCTTTCCCAGAACACAAGTCGAGCTGATCGCACATGCCGGAAGTCATGGCGGAGCAGTTTGCAGGGCTCTCCAAAGCATGTGCAGACAAAGCTGCAAGCAGTGGGTCGGATGTCCACAGGTCTCTTGTCTGGTGGACAAAAGCAGCAGGTCTCTCCGTCACAAGAGAGAGGCTGCACAACCTGGCTTGTCTATCCTGCTGTTGCGTGACCCACGTGATGTGGTCGTGTCCTGGCGACACGGGACTGAATCCTCCAGCAAGTATCAGCTTGCTGTCCAGCACATTCGGTCGGTCGCTAGTTGGACAAGGTGGCAGCATGAACAACATTCAGGACGGACCGAGTCCTTTGTGCTTTTCTACGAGGCCTTAGCTTTGCAGCCTCGTGAGACTCTTGAGGCACTAGCGAAGTTTCTTCAGCTGGAGGTGTCTTTCACGGAGGAGCAGATCGCAGAGTGGCAGAGCGTCACAAAGCCGGGGGAGAGGTGTCAGATCTCCTCGTACCCGCCTTGGATTGCCGGTTATCTCAGCGCCATCGTTCAGAAGGAGCTTCCAGAAGATCTTCGGGGCCACTGGGCATCTTGTCCCGGTAACGTGTCCTGGGCACCGGAGCCATGCCCGAGAGGAACGGAGCTGGAAGTCCATAATGAGTCGAGGCATGGGGACATCTGCCGGAGATCGAGGGATTACATGTGTCCGAATATGTGCAGGCAATTGGTCGACGCCCCATACTGTGCCGGGAAGGAACAAGAAGACCCATGTCGAGCTGCAGCAGCTGCTGCAACATGGCAAGACATGCTGGTTCCAAATCCGCACACGCCCTGGGTGATAAGCACATACTACGAGGCAAGTTCCAAGAAGGACGGCCGGGAGGATGCGAGACAGCTGACACTGGCGACTTGGGCTCAGCATTGGCAGCGGGCTGGCTGGAAGACGAGGGTTCTCGGCCTGGCAGATGCCCAGAAGTCTCCTTTCTACAAGCAGCTGCTTGTGAAGTTTGCGCAGATCCCACTCGGTCAGAATCCCGAGTATGAGAAGGCCTGCTATTTCCGATACCTCGCCATGTCGGAAGCTGGCGGTGGCTGGATGAGCGACTATGACACCTTGCCCTTGCATTTTCCAGCAACCAGTGATTTGGTTGGAAATGGTCGCTTCACAGTGCTGCAGGGGCACATACCCGCACTCATGTCCGGCAGCCAAGAGGAGTGGGCCCGGATGTCCCGTCTGCTCGTGGAAAGTGCTGTGATGCTGACGCGGCAAACCCCCATGCCAGCCCTGGTTTCTGACATGCATGCGATGGCAGGACTGGTGGACAAGTCCGGGCTCAAAAACAAGTCTGAAGATGCCTTGAACTCCTTCTACATGGTGGCAGATGCAAAAGACTACCTGCGTACATTGAAGAGGCCGACGTCCAGCTTGATCTGTCGTCGCTTCACCTTCTTCCGCTTGGCCATCCACGTCTCCCACGCATCCCTGGCAGCAGCAGGGCTTGCCTTGAAGGATGCCGACGTTGAGACGCAGCGTCCCCATTTCATGAACCAAACCATGGAGCGTTTCTGGGAGTGCGTGGAGATGGAGAATCCTTAAAGGATTCTGCAGGGCCATGCAGGCCCCATTCATCCCAATTCTCTATATATCGACTCTGCTTAGAGGAAGGAGGAAGGGGAGGAATCTCCCCAGAGGGCTTCGCCGAATTCCGGTCTCCCGGCTTCCAGCCCTTTCCTCCGTAGAGCAGGTTGTGGGATTGTCGTTGGACATGCGTTGGGATTGAAAGGGGGCCATGTCGTGTCTCTTGAAGTGAGATAAGAGCATCAGGGCTGTGTAGCACTGCAAGAAACGTCTCTATGCAGAAAGACTGCATGGGAGCTGAGTAATTAGCCTTGCTAGCCGCATCGCAACATTCAGGAAGTGTGCTCCTACTGCTCCTCCTCCCGCCGGCCCTGCCTGAACCTGCCAGCCTTTCCCATCCCAATCCCAATTCCACAGTGGCCCCCCGTCGCCGGCCCGCGAACTCATGCAGCCGATGTCATGTAGCAGTTTCTCCGGGCCCCCAAAGTGGGGGGATCTGAGATGGATGCCCAGAGCTACCGGGACCTCTGCCTCATCGTCCTGGGAAGCGGCCTCGAAGCCGAGGAGTTGCTGCTAAGGCGGCGCCTGGGCGCGGGGGGCCGCGCGGTGCACATTCTGACGGAGGGGCCCTCGGATGCCCGGGTGGAGATCTCCCGAAATCGGATGCTGGAGGGCTGCTTCTGGGCCCTTGAGTTACGGAACTTAGCTTGTAAGATGCGACGGAAGAGGAAGCCAAGCCATCTTTGTTGAAGGATTGGTGCCTGAAAACGATTTCCGCAACTAAGATCTCAGAACTCCGAACGCGCACATCGTGTTTCGTTCTAAATTCTCACAATAAGTAGGACATCAGATATGATACCTATCATCCTCAAGGAC